GTCGATTTGATTTTTAGTGTGTCCATCTGGTGAAATCCATGTCGCTTTGTGGATATCTTTGTGCCTGAACACACTGCCTCCAATCACCAAATCGTTGAATGCACAGAATTCTGCAAACAATTCTCCATTCTCATTCATTTCACCTAGCGCCTCTCGACCCATGGTTAGTTCTCTTCCCGTGTTGTCCCCTCCCAGTTTGGCATTCATGTCGCCCATTAGAATTTTGATATCGCCAACTGACGTCTTGTCCAGTGTTGATTGAAGTTGTCTGTAGAAATCCTCCTTTTTCTCTTGCTCTGCATTATTTGTAGGTGCATAACATTGTATGATTGTGACCTTTCTTCCTTTTGAGTTGAATCTTGCTGTCATGATCCTGGAGGAGATTGGTTCCCACTGCATGAGAGCCTTCGATGCTCTTGAGGACATCATGATAGCCACTCCCTCAGTGTGCTCGTGGTTGGCGTCTGGGTGACCGGAGTAGATTATTGATTCTCCAGTTGACAGTTTGGAGAGTCCACTCCCATTCCATCTGCTTTCGCAAATCCCAAGCACTTCGATGTGATACCTTCTCATCTCCCTTGCAATCTGGGCTGCCTTACTGGGTTCAAACATCGTGCGGACATTCCATGTCCCCACGTTTACTTTCGCTTTCATCGAGAGAAGACACATCGGCCAATTGGCTTCCCGAAGGCTTTCACCAACTGGCGTCATTTCGCCTCTCCGATTCCAGCGGGGAATAAGTTTGTTTTCATTTTTTATATTTTGTTTGTGCTTTGAAGTTTCTTTAGCGGTTAGATTTGTTTTACGGGGTAGGGTTGCTAGCCCTATGCCCAACCTTCCCTCTTTACCCGGGCTTAGGACCGGCTAGTAACTAGTAAACTAGTTAACCAGGCGAGGTTATCGAGTACTAATGAAATTTATGAATTCATTAAATCCTACTTTCTTCGTATTCGTTGCTTATTTTAAATGTTTTCAGTTGAGTAGAAGTATCAGATTTCGATTCAAAAGGAAATGAAAGTGACATGAGAGAGGGAGTGGAGGGCGTTTATAGTTGAAACGAGGGTCTGGGTTTCCAATTCTATCTCACTATATTTTCATACTGTACCAATCAGTGTTCCGGGTAGCCTGAATTGTCTCCTTCTCATTCGCACTTGGGAACAGATGCAAGTTTACTCAACTTCGTAATCTGAGCCAATAACGAATTGAAATAATAGAGATTTGAACTCATGATGAGGATGATAATGATTCAAAGTTGTCAAAGCGTAAAGAACAAACCATCGGCATTAACGAGAAACAGAAAAGAACCATAAAGAGAAAACGACAGGTCCGACGTGATCACAATTTTTCTTTATTGCAAAGCTAAGGTACATTCTACTGTTATGAAAATCTTTACAAATCAGCATATCTAACGCCGGTCGTGCGATTCGAATTTTTTAGGATCTGGAAGCATCAAAACAAAACGTAAGAACTTCACAAAATACAAAAGGAATAGATGTTATTAAGAAATTAAACAGAATCCCTTTCTTTCTTTGCGACTTAAAGTTTACTGGGAAACATATACAATGATAACATTGTCAAAATACGCTGCAACTCTCGAAATGTTGGAGTTTATGGTGTCTGTCTGTTGGAAATTCATTCGGCTTTCTCAATGCTAATATGTAATTGAAGATACTGAAATGCTGAAATAGTGAGCAACACGTGTTGATAGTTTGTAATTCTCAGCACTCCTATGCAAATTCAGCTTATAGATAAATGTCTGCAAGATCGCGTTCGCAAAGCGAATGTCGTTATTGATAAAGTTATCGTTCAGTTATAGTAAGAGGGATTTTATGTTGATCCATAGATGGATTTAGTCTCGTGGAAAAGTCAGCGAATACTGTAGAAGAACCTTTCGAGTTGTCAACTATGATAGGAGCTGCCTTTGCAGAATAAGAAGTTGACTTCACGATACTTTGTTTTTGTCTGTTACAGATACCTTGTGGTGAAAAATAGGGTGTATCTAGTCCTAATCGAAAGATCACCTGAACTGCTGTAAGGATCGGGTTCTAATATGCTTAACAGCTGCTAAGTCGCATTTCATATGCTGCATTATATTACGTCAGCGTAGAGTGACGTGAACAGGATTATAAGAATTTGTACTTCAATTATGGAAGTTTAGTTGGTTGTGGCTGACAAGAGAATCCAGGGCGCGCATTTCTTCCCATTTGGGACTCGTCAGCTGGATGTACCTGCAACCTAGTGAGTGATGTTATTCCCACCTGGACTCGAACCCTGTACCCATCGCTTCAAACGCCAAGGCATTATCCACTATGCCACAGAGGCACGTTGGGTGCGAGATTCGAGTCCCGATGAGAACAACACTCACTGAGGTGCAGGTCCGCCGAGCTGACGAGTCCCAAATAGGACGAAACGCGCATCCTGGATTCCTCTGTTATCCACAATCAACTAAATTATCATAATTGACATTCAAACAATATCGAGGCCTCCACATAAGAGCCCATATGCCAATAGAGGTCGAACAATTCAATTCAATGAAACAATGAAGAATTACAAGTATATCAATAAATAGTAATTCGTACTTAATTGACAATCGTAGTCCTTCAACAGTTTGATACATATATCAAAACTTGTTGTGATGATTCAGTTTTAATCCTTCTGTAGTTCTATGTTCTCCTAAGATCTAAAATTATTCCTAAAAACCTTGATATATAGGGGAAACTAAGATTGTTTTCGGAAATCAGTACTTTTCTTCTCCAGATAACTGAATTATCATTTCCGCACATATAACTTCTATGAATTGGAAGTTTGATGCTTATAGCTGGAAGGCTGTAAAACAACTAAACCATTCATAGTCAGACAACTAAGTGAGGATTAGAATACAACTTACCAGAACAGTAACTTTGCATCAGATTTTTGTTAGTTTAACAAAGCTAGAACTAAAACAACAACATTTACGGAGTGCGATGAATTCATTGTCTTTCGTCGCTTTTTCAACTGCATACAGGCTATAAATTCATAAGATATACTATAAAGAGAAATGCAATCCACATAATTCGCTTATCGAGGAGATCATAGTCCATTAATGAGATAATAAAAGAATTAATACAGACTAAAAAAAGTTCAAATGAAATAATTTGTGATCACTGAAATCGAAGTTACCTCATGATTGTGTAGTCAGATTGTCATCTTACTACACGTGGCCAATCAAAAATGGAATAGAAAGTACTAGGTAATTATTTGTGGTTGGTTAACAATGTAAATATAGCTTAAAATATTTTGTATGGGTTAAGGTTCAATTTAGTCTGCGTCAAGTGGTAAACTTGTAGGGATGAAATAATAATTCATTTTGAGATTAATGGGGATTGTAATTTTGATGTAGTATTCATTCCGGACTGACATCAGTTGGAGAACCACTGGAAGCATTGGACAGCTGTTTCACCCTAATATAGGACTCCTCAGCAGTAAACACCTACGACCCCACCCGCCAGGGATCGAACTCAGGACCGTCAAGTTCAACGGCGAATGCGGTAACCATTCAGCTACCGAGTCGGAGTTCAGTGGTTCACAGTTTCCAACTTCTGTCAATTTGCTATATAGCGTGACTATCACCAAGGTCTTCAGTTGGCATCCGGTTTTCTTTCCAACTGGTTAATTATTTTAAATGCCTTTGAGATCTGGACATGGTTTCCTGGGTCCATCAGATCTAATTTAACTTTTAGGGCACTCTGACTCATTTAGCTGAACTTACTTGGAATGTGTTCACAAAATCTATTCTTTATCCTTCCGGTGTACATGGTGTGACATGTACATATGAATCGGTGGATACAACTGAAGTTGAGATGAGGCAGAAACGTGTCGACTTTTGATTGTTGTGGTGAACACTTTGTTTTGCTCACAGAAACTAATTTAGCTGCTAGGAAGGTGATTTTTGATTTAGTTCTTGTCACATTTTTAGCACAAAAAAGTGTGTCACATAATCTTTATCTTCTGGTGTTGTATTCATCTTGGTGACTCGCAGTTGGATCCAGGACATGCGTTTTGTCCTATTTGGGACTCTTCAGCTGGATCTACTTCCACCCTTGTAAGTGGTATTGTTCCGACTGAGACACGAACCCGGTACTCACCGCTTCAAACTTCAGAGCGTTATCCACTAGGCCACAGGGGAATAGCGTTTTCTGAGTAAATTGTATCATGTTGATTTCTTTTGAATATAAACTGTAGTTTTCAAGACGGACCAAAGCAGAACATTTTATCAGTAATTAGTTCCCAATTAATTTGCTGTAGTGGTTTAACTTGATGCGTGTCCATGTTATGTATGAACTTTTAGCTCTTGTTTTTCAACTGCATGTTCACTGGTTCGACTCTCACATTAGTTTTGGAGCTTTGGAAACGTCAGTTATCTTCAAACAGTGAACGTGATTTATAATCTGCACTTAATAATTGACTATCCTCATGCTATAATTTTGGAGTTAATTTATTTATATACCAATCTGTGGCTCATCAGCTTAATCACTTAGCGTTCAAACAATGATTCACGCTTTCGAACCACATTTCATCCACTGTAGTCTGCACAAACGAGGACTGTCATAAGTTCTCATATGTTGTGTCCTATAGCGGCGTAGTACATGAATCTCCACCAGTTTACTTAGTTGCCCTAATTTGTACATAGTGTTCTGCATATAACGAAAGGCGACCAGTAAAATTGAAGCATCTTATTTCAAGTAGTTGTATATATAATTTTCAAAGAAGTGTCTCATTAGGCAGTCAAATTACACAGCTTCTTCAATGATATTCTATACCAAGATTAAAATTAGGTTGATATTCTCTCCTCTTCATAACTTACATAGTTTACCTTTGTTTATCACTTCTACTATGCATTCGTGTAAAAACTCAGCATATTTGTTTTTAAATTTATCTTCGTATGACCAACCCATCGATCATATATGTATATACACGTTCCAGGTTTGATATATTGTGGCATCCTTTCCTTTGGATTTTAGTTCAGATGTCGTTGGATTTACTAGTCACCAATCTTCTACCAATAAATGCAATATCAAGGAGATTTTCGATCGAGCTATCAGTATATGTGAACGCTTGGCTAGCGAAGTGGACAGAATTCGAGCCAATTATTGGCAGTATCGAGCTCGTCAGTTATTGTGTTTCACTGAAAAAGTCAACCTAGTATCTGACACTATTAAATCATAAATCTTTTTAACTTACAGTATTTTATTGAATATCTATGCAATGTTGTTTCATTCTGATATTTATATTTTATTCTACAGATATATATGAATACAAATATTTTTATCAAGATTTCTTTTTCGATCACATTTCCAATTATTTTGTTCATTTTTGGGTAACAAATACTTGGGATTGACTGTCAAGAAAATCTATATCTTGCGATTGTTAAGTGAGATTAGTGTACAGCTTCTGGAAAGGTTACTTTTCACTAACGATGAAACACTTGCCACTGATAAACCGGAAAACCCTACCGCAAAAATTTAAGGCTGTAACTGACTTTGCATGACTACAGTGCATATTTGATCTTCAACTGATGAAAAGTATTCTTATACTCTTTTCTTCACTGTCGTTAAGCTTGCGAACTAGGGCTGTCTTACTTATGGTTTAAGAGAAGCTATTTTTCTCTGGTGTTATCCGGAAAGCAGTATTTGTAAGTGTAAATTACTGTAATCTCAGCATGTTTTTTCTACTTGGATTATTTAATGACAATAAAACAAGCCAGTAACATATTTCGGGGAGGAGCGTATATTAAAACCCGAAATTGTGAAAAATACATGTGCAGGTGTACTAGGTCAGTTATAACCTGGTGTTATTGACTGTTGTTTGGCGTTGCAATGTAAATGACTGACCATTTTTATAAAGCCATTAAGAAGATGAAAGAAAAATGACTTCTTTCCTCAGAAGTTTAGCCCTAAAAGATACTAAATTGGACAGGTTTAGTAAGTGTTATTTTGGTAGCTATATATGTTGGCTCATAGTGATTATAACCTCTCAGTTCACAATTACTTTGTTATAGGTATTATATTCAATACGAGTATTTATCTCTCTGTTCTTTTCCTTTTCACTCTGTTTGTATGTCATTAGCCCCTACACAAAAGTGTGATTTATAATCTTTTGGATGAATGTACGGGTGGTAGATGAGTCGTCGATATGGTTCAAAAGCGGTTATTCGCTATCCACTACCGTTTCGGAGTTTGACTGTTATATCCTGTTTAAAATCCCTCATTTGTTATCTACAATAATTTAAAAATTGCCATCAGTTTTCGAAGCAATTAATAATTGATACTTTGTTGCATTTTATTGTTTTTTGTTCAAAATAGTCATACTTCTTAAACATGAATAGTGAGCGCATTATTCGAAAAGGCGAGTTATGAGTCAGGATTACAGCCTTTCACAAGGAATTCTCAATGATGCAACGTCCTCAGAAGATGAATCATCGCATGCAAGAACGTGCTCAAATACGTTTTTCTGGTATAGTATTGATTTCGTAGTTACAAGGCTTGAACGTTTGCCTTATTCACTTACTATTAAATAATATACACTAGCTTCTGCTGTTAGAATCTGATGATAGTTGTATAGAACAATTTATGTAGTATGTATAAGGCGAGAGTCACTTTTCTGGAGTAAACACTCATGTCTATCTATACATTGGATTGTATACCACCGAAAATTTTATGAGTTTCTCCCCAAATGATCTTTTTTAGATGCATACAAGATATTTCAAGAATCCGTATCATGATGTGTTATCGGAAGCAGAACCATTGTTGCTGAATCCTTCCTTTGCTCTTCAAAAGGCAGTTACATGTATACGTATGTGCATTCAAGTAAGTAAAGTTCTATTCCCGTACCCTTTCTTTCACAATAAAAGGAATCAGGTTTTATTTAACCTTAGAAACTTCCAGGTTTCTGGTGGTAGATGTCTCCATAGGATTTCTGGTAGATGTTGAAATCATTGAGTGAACAGCTTGAAGGTTAAGGATAGAGCACTATGCGGAAAATTTGAGTCTGCTGCAAAAGTTTTGTGCCGAATGAGGTTTTTATAACACTTGCTGCACATATACTGACCACTCCTCCTCGACGCTAATCAGAATGGGTGTAGTCTGGAAAAGAGTTAATTGTGGATACACCAAACCATGGTATCCATTTATCAAATCTTTGTTTGTTGGTTTGTGCTGTATAGCTTATCTGACGGGTTGTCGCAACATTGTTAGTCAGTGGTTAAATACTCTTGTTCTCATGCATGGAAATCGACCACAGTTTCATAAACGCATTCACTCCATCATATTCAAAATACTGGACGTTTTCATAAACTATTATCTGATTACAACCTATCTTTATTCCGTCAGTTTATTTTGATGTTTTATTTTTATTCACTTCCTTTTTAAGCGATGGTATTTGGTGACTTTAAATGGAGGATTATTGCTTAAAGTTCTATTTTTATCTGACTATTCACATGGATAGTAGTAAAATTGTTAGGGACACTCCTTCTTAACCTACAATATCAGTTTGCAGTATCGCTTAACGACACGAAGGTAGCCCCGAAGTTAAATAGTACACCAACCAACTGACTACAAGATATAGGAAGATGTCCAAATAATTAACGGAGAATGGACCCGGGAACAGTTTATCAAAGATCTGAACGAAAACTGATCTGCTTTGCAGTAATATTTTGTATTCGTTTTGAAAAGTCTGTAAGTTATGAGAGTAATTACTTACCTGCTGACTTCTATATCTGTCCAATGACTATAGACTTGCCTCCATCCTTAAAAATGACCAGACGTTGCTTTGATTGGATACTTTACAACATTTTGATGCCTAGATTCCGTTTTAAACTCTAGCTTTGTTGGTCACCGTCAACTCATTATTGAGTATAATTCGTTTGGTTTGACAGGGGGAGTGGACTGAATGAACTTTATTTTTAAGTGTTCCGTTTCAGAAGTGCCTGAAGATTTCTGACCCATATAACAGACGTAATCGGTCATCTCATTAAAACCAGGCCTCCCAATAATGGTCTTTTAGATGTGCTGAAACCCCCTTTTAGCCATTTCGAGATGTCCTAAGCCAGGTTTGTGTTTCAAAAAAATCTGTTATTAAACTTCAAGCACCTTGATAATGTGGTTTCTTAAATCTTCACCTATTCGGTTACATCGCTCTCTTTCCATTAGATTTTCAGTGCACATTCAACCTCAATCGTAGTCTGCTGATTTCTTTGCATTATGTTTTACTACATTTCATTTTCTGTTTCAGACCAACCTTATCTAGTCATTAATTTTTTGTGTTTCAAAGTTCCATACTCCTTGTTTTGCTACCCTACTTACTTATAACAAGTGATTTCCTTCAGATAAGATATACAACGGGATTTTTCAAACATAATCCACTTTGAAGCTATAGCTTATTAGTTTAGAGGGATGACTTTCAGTCAGTGGGTTGCTGGTTTGAAACTTACTCTACCTACCATATTTTGGGGAGTTAGATAGTCATTTTGTATACAATGCTTTAATCGGTAATGAAGATTTTAAATGCGACTGCACACTTTCGAAATTATTGTACGCTAGACCGTTCAACTAAGTGGTATTATGGAACGTTTTCGAGATAATTTAAATCCGAATATCAACTCCTGAAATATGGTACCGGCTATACAGAAACACATTATGATAAATGTTGTCAGCATGTTTCATCTGGAAGCATTATTTTTGTGTCCGTGCTTGTATTTCACGTTCATTCCAAGTTGGTAGTAAACTTTTAATTACTCAGCTTTGTTAAATTGTTTCCTTTCCCCTTTTCTTATGAATATATCTGGTTTATTATCCGTTTTCCTATAATCTTGTCACAAACAGATTATTAGTTTTTTGTACAATTATGTCTATGCCATCGCATCCAGTAGTGTATTATGCGCACTTAATGCTTTGCGTTATACTCGTGTATACCTATGGGTATTTGCATGAATTGAAGCAAATTCTTTACGAATTGTGAGTTTATATTCAGCATCACAGTTTTTGCTTCAAGATTCAAGTAGTCAACCTTACTACCTACTGTTAACGTTTTTCATTTACATATGTTTTTTTTTGGTGAATGACCCTTATGTTAAATATTTTGAGGCCATAAAATGTCTGAGCAAAAGGTTGAATTTGTGTTGTCACATTAATTACATTTTCACATCACCATGGGATACAGTTGTGTGACTACCTTTTTGTTCGAACTGCGTCTACACTTAGCGTAATAATTTTGTAGCCTACTTTCTTCCCATTCTTCTTCTTGCTTTAGAACACTGCTCTAACACCGCGTACCTTCGATGGTTGTCTTTATACGGGTTACATCGGTGTCGCATGGGCTGCTTTGTATGTTGCTAAACATGAAGTCACACCTGAAATCAAAAAATACTTGTTGGAAAAATCTACTAATTATGTGGATACTGCTTTATCTCACTCAAATGTTATCAGTAATAAAGATTCACGAAGTAAGGAGGACCTACTATCTTTTCTTCTTGGTCAGGCTGGCGTTTGGCTGACTGCCATCACTCTGTATCAGGTGATTTTCATATACTGCTTTTCTACATGAATGTTTTCGCATACGTAGTTAGTTATTTTTTTCTATTTCCTCCTCTCGAAATCACATTGTATGGTTTTCATCAGTGTGAACTACTTTAGCATCTGAAGATCTTATTCACCAGACACTTCAATAATCGTTTATTAACTTACTATACCGGTGTGGCTAAGTTACCCCGGTAGATCAAATCATCTTATTATACACCCTGTATGATCGATAAAGTATGAATGAAACATGAAAGCATATCAAAAACTCACTATCAACATACCATTATGGAAAACATTTCGACACTAAGAACTTCCAAGGAAACGTATTCGTACTCACTGAGTTTTTTCAAAGGTGTATCACATCTGATTGATAAACTGTCATTTAATAAACCGACTACCGTTATTGTGGTGTGTACTAAACCGTATCATGCTATGTGTATATAGAAAATGAGCTGGTGAACGAATTTTCAGCTAGGCTATATCATTATTCCTCACACAATAAGTATGTCGCATAGCTTCTACACGAACATATACGTGGTTAACTATTGAGGTAAGTTAATTGCAGTTATAGGTGCAAGTTTGGGTAACTTGTGAACATATAGCTTAAGCAACTTCTCGATCTTAGTTTTTTTCTTATATGTTTCCCAGTGAAATAGTACTATTTATTGGATAATGTCTCGGAAATAATTTATTGTCCGTATTCTTACCAGGTAACAATAAATTACGTTATCCACTAAATAATACTCTTTCATTTTGAGAGACATATAGGAAGCAAACTGAAATTGAAACAAAATATGCCACAGTGCCTACATTTTACTCTTTTATTACTTAAACAACCTTATTTACTGCATCGATTGTATCTTTTCGAAAGCTTTCATCCATTAGGAACTGCTTTATGATTTCATATCACTAATAGAAAAGACATCTTCATTGCACTGGGAGCTGTATTCAACGTGTCAAATTGGCGTGCTTATATTCAATGCTGTTTGCAACAGGATAACCCTATGGGAGTCTATTTGGTGGTTACTGTGGAATCCAGGATGCGCGTTTCGTCCTATTCAGGACTTGCCAGGTGGATGTACTTGCACCCCAGTTGGTGTACAGTTTGCACTGCTAACTGTCAAATGAACTATAATATAATGAATTTCCAGGCAGTATCGAGGCATCTGCACTGTAGCCCATCTGCCAGCAGAGGTCGAGGAATTCAACCCAGTGTAGTGACGTGAAATTACAAGTATTATTAAACAACACTATGCTGTCTTTATTTTGACAGTCTATTGTATAAGTATGCAATTATATTTTTTAGTTCTTTTCATCTCACTCTCCAATGAATCGTCTTCGTAATTAGTCAGTGGTAATGGGATCATCTTTCGTCGGTCGTTAAGACTGTTTCGGAAGACACTGATTTATTTATCAGCATCTAGCTACGAACCTGGCTAGCTTTAGAAAAACGACTGAAAGATCTCAGTTTTGCGACAAGCTTTATTGTTACTTAAATCCCCATTCACAGCCAGCCTACTTATTAAAAACACTACTCAGCATGTATTCTCTTTCTGCGTGCCTTTGCATAATTATGTTCGATATTTTTCTCATGACTTATCTTTATTTTTGTCTCCACTATTCACTGCTGCCTACAGCCTTTAGCTAAGTAGTACATAATTAAATAGTACGCACACTGATGTAGCAGTTAGTAAACTGATGTTATCATTTATTCCACGGTTATGCCGACATCGGTCAGTTGGTTGCGATTACAAGGTTTCTTAGAGACCTCAGTGGTGAACTACCAGGATTATCAAACAGTTTCTATCAAAAAGTTGATGCCATAAAAAAGTGTTGAAAGCTGAATAATATACTTTTGAAGTTACTCATCAATAATATGAGCAACCCTTTTAGTGACGTTTGTGGCACAAGCTTTTGCCTCATACTCATAATGCGATTTAATTCAAATAAGTGTTTTGAGGAAATCAATTTTTATCCCTCAGCATTGCATAAGCACAATTATAATTCAGGGCAAAAACGGGATGATACACGTCCAATCTTAAGTCGTAATTAACAAAACTAGCGGATAAGAGCGAATTAAAACAGCAAAGTAAATTCCATATTAGAATTATTTAGATATGACAGTATAAATGGTTATAACAGGTGAACAAAAATATGTAGGTTATTTCAATGTAAAAACACAAAATATCTCTTGATAACAAGGATGAATTTTGAGTTGAACGAATCTCAAGACTGAAAATAGCCAATGTCAATACACGTTAGTCTCAAGTATGTTCTTCATTAGTTTAGACTTTGCAGTGCACAAATAAAAAAAATGCAAAGTTTCATGTTTGGGTGAAGGAAAACACCTAATAGAAAAGGATACTTATTAGATTATGTAAGCTGATCTGAGTATCTACATGTGTGTGCTGCGGAGAGTTCGTATGTATACTTCGTTAGGACTGCTTAGTGGAAAGGTACCATTCGCTGTAGTCATCGTCTCAAGTTTCAGCTTGAATTTGAGAGAATGAAATTATTGGTATTCTTTCTGCAAGAGATGGTCTGCAAGTATGTAAATAAAAAAAACGAGCCATAATTATAACATTATACGTAAATGGCGAAGTTTTTGGTTAAGAAATGATAGCAAATGTTGTTATGGTACAATGATATGAAACCCAAGTATTGTTGATAGTAATGCGTGACTATGTGTTATAGAATATATTGTTTAGTAGTTAGGACATAACTTGGATACTTAAACGACAAGGTTATCTATTACATATCCGCCCCTGAAACATATTTAGTTTTGGTATAGCATCAAGTTCTCAAGCGGAAGGCGCACTTCTATACTGGATACCAGTGAACAGCTATTTGTGTCCCGTCCAGTTGAATGGATCTATAAGAACTAGGAAGCATCATGACACCTGCCAATATCTGTTCGTAATCTCTGCCTATTCCACCATTGACTGCAGTTAGGATCATAAAAAGGACGAATCCTATCGAAAGCTGTCAGTTTTGCTACACGAAGTAAAATGTGCAGATACAATCGTAATAGCAGGTGACTTCAAAGCTCAAGTAGGGAAGCTGACGCAATCGGAAAGGCATATTTAGTGTCCCATGCCAGCGAACTGAAGACAGTGATCGTCTCTTGCAATTTTTGTTCGACAATCACTTTTTTCTGCAAGAACTAACTTCAAACATTAGGAAAAGCCCTTCCTTTCACTTGGTGTCCTCCTGCATGAAATCAACTGTGGACACACACAAATGATATTCATATGAGCTATCGTTAGAGGGTCGCCATTTTTTAGAGTAGTTGCTTGGTCTCCGGCCATGCGCTAGTTACGAAGTGTCTACTTGCGACGCAAAAGACAGAGCAGAAGAGTGAGGCGTGTGTGTATTTGAGTTGAAGGTGTGAACGTCAAGCATGTATCTGGAGCGGTATCGGAGCGTTTATCTGAAAATGACAGGAATTGTTCACCTTATGAAGCCTGGCATAATGTTCGGTCTACTGTAGAAACAGTGGTAAAGACAGTTGGTAACTTATGCGAGTGGTTTATTGCAGCCTCCGAACGTGCGAACTGATTGATGCAATAAAACTGATTTGGGTTGGGTGTGACCACGTGAAGACGTGTTAGCAAGTCGAGCGTAAATTGACCAGGAGTTCCCACAATGATCACGAGCAGTGTTTTTCAGGGAAAAAAGCAGAGATGGCATCAGCATTAGATAATACTTGGTAGTAATTTTGGTTTATTGCAGAAGGTGATAAGATTGTGACTAGAATATTTGGTTGAACACTTTGAAGAATGGTTGAACCGGTCTACAGCCGCGCTTCAGTTTCCAATCTTCCGAAACGATGCAAAGCAGCAGGACAAGAAGTTTTCACGGATGGAGTTAAAATATTACTGAGTATAGTAACGGAGGTGCTAGGTGGTGTATAAGAATCAGAGGTAACCAAGGCTGTTCACTGGAACTAATGTAGCTGTGTCCGAGCTAACAGAGAGTTTTTGCCTAAAATGACGACGACCAGTGGTATCCACCAGCGGTGCCCACTGCTACCTTTCCTGTTTGACTTTCTTCATAGATATGTCATTGGATATATCTTTAGGTGGCTCCAAGTTTACAGGAATTGACCTACTTCTATAAAGACACCTGGTTGACTTTCAGCACACAGACATCAGTGTCTTGCTAGATGAAGCCGTGTAAGGAAATGTAGACTTCCTGGTTGTGGTCTGCATGGCGACAGATGTAAGTGGTGACATGGTCTAGTATCGATCTCTGCGGTGTAGATATATTGACGCACCATCTTCATCTTAATCGTCACATTGAATCCCATGTTTTCTCTTTCCTCCTTCCTCTCTCTTCACAACCTTCTGCGAACTTGGCTGTTTTCTTTTTCTCTATATTTCATCTTAGTGGTTTTTCCCTTGATGTGCTGATACGACATGTGGCAACTTGGACCACTACGCAGTAATTCCAGGCTGTGTTGATTTTGTCTGAATGTTTGTTATGCGAAGTTGTTGTCAGTATGCTGGGGGTTGTGAATGCCTGAACATGTTATCTACATGGTGCAACAGGCGTTTGACAATCGTTTCCCTTGATGTAGAAATATAATCTATTGGAAACTTCATTGGTTTGTTATCTGAAGCCTTTAAAATAATGTTACTGTTTACGTTTGAAGTACGTACTGGCCAAGAACAGGAGACTGTTGAGATCTTGACCGATAGCTACTACCTTGAAGTGGTGGTCGGGTCTGTATACCAGAATGACCCAACAAGCTATGATGTTGGAATACTTGTCCTACCATACCACAAAGGTCTGTTTGATAGCGGTAAGACAAACAGCAGTTTCCATTATAGTGTATTTTGCTACGCTATGATGTGGGTCTGAGGGTGAGGTCGTACCGCTGACTGGATGGTGGTCTGACGGCAGTAAGGTGTTTCCCTTGGATGATAACCAGTGCCATGCTGATGCTGCCTTCTCTGTGGAAAGGAGTGAGGTAGAAAAGGTTGGACCCAAAAGTAGCACACTCCCGTCCCCTCGTTGCATATTGATGTCTGCAATAGAGATTCGTAGTCGGACTTTAAAAGAGACGAAATCTTTGAGCACTGCGGTCAAACACCCTCTTATTTTTCAGGTACCTCAAGAAGAAGCAACCCTTTACGGTGTGGGTAGCCGGGACGTGTCAACCGCCCGCACGCTTCTAGTAGTACACAAGACCTAGTCGAACATAACATATCCCCCTCAATTCTGTCTCCTCCTTTGCCTTCACCTCCTGATACTAATGTTAAGCCCCTTACACCTTCCCCAACCTCTCACTCTGCGAACATTGCAAACAATCGAAGCCATCGAAACCTCACTCCTAGTTTTCCTTAACCCCACCATGAATTTCATGTAGATCTCAACGTCAGAAGTATATGCCAAATCGGACAGTAAGCATCGCTCGCAAAACCTCTGGAATCTTTACCCATAGATGTATACTATGTCTCTGAGACAGGCGTGGATGACGCGGACCCGAATGTGATTATTAAACTAACCTCACCTGGCCATGGTAGACAATCTTCAAAATTCACCTTACGAGTAGTATCCGGAGGAAATGGGCTGGTGGAAAGCCTCTGTAAGCTCAGTTGGAATATGAAGCCGCCAAGTACATATATAGGGAGGAGTTAGGTAAGCATTTGTCTGAACATGGACAGTAGTGCTCATGCTGAGGAAAACTGGTGTGATATTAATTCTGGTGTTGAAAGAGCGTTAAGAACAGATGGTAACCTACACCCTGAGGATAGTAAACGTCATTGGATTTCTGAGATGTCGCCTGAGCTGTTTGATGCAAGAAGACTGAATCCAGCTGGTTCTGACCACGATGAACAGCGAAAGTCAATCAAAAAAATTGACGAAGAGTCTTTGCGTCTACCGAGAGCTTTGGTGGTTGGAGAGAGCGAGGGAGATGGAGAAGGTATCAGCGTTGGGTATCATCCACCAACTATTCAGGTTTATTGAGGAAAGCAGCCAGAAGAGGATGGTCTTTAATGAAATCAATATCGAAAAGGATTGGACACTCTTAACGACTCACAACAGGTGTCTGGGACATTGAACGAAACACTTTGAGGCACAGTTCAACTTGCACTCATCATTCATCAGTTGCGCAACATCCAGCCTGAACCTGAATGGGACGTAGATGTGGGTCTTCTAATTCTCCTTGAAGTTTGAGGAAGCTGTATCGAACCTGACAGGATGCAAAGCGGCAGGACCTGGCCGTTTGCCACCTGGAGGTAGGAAATTGCTGCTTAAAGTGACGTAGGTGCTGGGTAGTATATGGGAATAAAAGGCAGTGCCGTCAGACTAGTGTACTTCATTGATTATCCCAGTCTATAAGAATGGAGGTAAGTCTTCTTGTGACAACTGTTGGGGAATTAGCTTGACCAATATTATGTCCAAGATCCTAGGGTTCTTAATTATCTGCTGCCTAATTGTAGCTCGAGAACAGCAAACTTGAGAAAACCAGGAACATGAGCATACCTACACACACCATATTTCCTGACCTGAAGGCAGCATTTGACTCTGTTGACTGTGAGGTATTGTGACAGTGTCTCATTGTGATGAAAGGAAGTACCAAGCAAGTATGTGGTGCTTATCAAGGCTATCTACTAAAACTGACAGCCATGTCACGGCTTACGGAGAGTTGTCATCAGAATTTACGACAAACAGTGGTGTCAGCTAGGGATGCCCACTGTGGTAGTCCGTACTTAACTTTGTAATCAATTTTTCTGGTTAAACACTATTCTTTGCGAGATGAAGATACTTCCATGTCTGTGAATTCACCGATTGTTTATTTTACTTGGTTGCGAAAGCGTAGGCTGCTTAAATGGATTATTGAGAATGTTAGCAATTAGTCTTTGACGGCATTGAGTGAATTTTCTCAAATATGTGGATTGCAGCTAGGCATATGTATTCAGTATTACCTTTAATATTATCAACATTCTACCAATCTTTCACGTTCTCATTGACATTTTTCTTATGTAACTAGTTTTTCCCTGTTTCTTTGATGTTGTGTATTGTAGCAAGCTTAATCGCTGCATGTTTATACCGTTTTCTTTTTCCTGTCCACCTACAGTTATAAAAAACGCGCGCTTTTCACGTAACTTTATAAGTTCTAAAACTCATCTTTTCATCTGCTTATGATGTCATATTAAATCACAGTGTTTCCCGGATGATTTCTATAAACTACCTGATATTATGCCACCAATACTTCTTATGAAACGAGCTGGTGTTGTTCGTTTGCAGATGAAAATGTAGATGTAGTTCAGCAGCACTTCATCGTATGATCTTATAGGTCATAATTTTGACGAAAACGAATCTCATTGTTATGTAGCAGTGTACTGGTACTTAGGAGTTATTCCTAATTATTAAGTTTTTGCACTACTTATTTTATGTGTAAGTGTAAGATATTAGTTTATCACTGAACCATTTTTACACCTAATGGTTATCTCAGTAATAAAAATTATATTCATTTTTGAAAAGCAGAAATATTCAATATGTTTATTTAGTTTACAGTTTATTTTAATGAACAACCTAAGTAACTAGAAATCACCCACATTGGCTCTTTCGGTGTTTCAGTAACCAACTGCTTGAATCTTTGGCTACTAAACATTTCCCACCCAATATTTTGCATCAGATTACTCTCTTTCAACTTGTTTTTATTGTTAAAATATGTCTTCAAATTGTATTGTGTACTGCAGCGCATCTTTATAATGTTTTCAAGCACCCGTTTTGCAGGTTAAAAATATTATGAATAACAAGTACCATGGTAGGTGACAACAAACCTTTATGTACACAGCTTGAATTGCAGATTTTCGTACTGACTAGATAAGCCACCACCACGACGACCAAACTTGCGTACGCTTTTCTATTCATTCCTCTTTTCAGATCAAACTATAACCTAAGAGCAACCTAAAATACCGTTATTATTAACATCACTGAGATGTTATAATTATTTCGTTTAGAAATGTTGTGTGAAGAGGTTGAGCGTTTTAATCCAGTATAACAACCAGAAATTAAAAGTATCAATAAATAGCAACCTATACCCGTGGCAATGGTGCCTCAGTGGTCTAATGGATAACGTGCTGGCGTCTGATGCCATGGGTATTGGATTTGAGTCTCAGTGGGAACACCATTACCCATCGAAGTGCAAATACATCCAACTGGCGTACACCATATCGTTGCTTTGTTTGTTGGCTGCTAAGCACATTTCACATTTGATTAGTCTATTTGATGTGTGATACACTGACAGCATTATCTACTAGTAAGTGATACTATATCACTGTACGCCATATCAGACTAATCTGTTATATAATTCCATTCTACTGCAGTGCCCAAATTCTATGATTGTATTAATGCTGAGCTCTTAATCAAAATACATTCGTTTAACACTAATTTATTTGGTTAACTTAAAGTACGTTCCAAGTGGAAGGTAACTGGTTATCAACCTGAAATAGTAGAGAAATCAATCATACACAGATTATTACCTATCACTTTTTTGACTGTTCTCCTAACAAACAGATATATTCACTGACTTTACACCACAAATCCACTTCAATTGTTGAAATTATTAATGTCACCTACATCAATTGAATTCATCCTTCAGGATAGATGAATTGGAGAAATATCGATGACATGTTTGCAGATTTAAGTCTTTAAACGTGTCATTTCATTTTATTTTCATGTAATTATGGTAGACAAGCATGTATACGCATAGAAATGATTGATTTTGCCTTCGTTGCTAGATAGTTTAGTTGATTTTTCAGTCAATGATCTATAGTGATTTTTTCGAAATTATGACAGTGCAGTTCTGTTCAAAAATTCTAAATTGCACTCGCTTTAGGCGTAGTTACCGAATGCTAGAGATTTTCAAAAATTAATTCCTTGAAGTTGTTTATATGACTTTGCTTCTCCATGTTCATTCAAATTTGGTTTAGATCTTCAAATGGTTGTTTATCAAGTAATAGTTATTAGGTGTCGTAGTTACTATAGGTCGACAAACCTCTGCGTTGTGTTATTGATGATTGAACATTTTTAGTCACTGGTTTATCTGCAGTTTTAATATTCATCTAGTAGAAAGAAATTAATTGAATTTATTTTATTTTGTTTGGAAATTGGAAATAAATTTAAGTATTTAGGTGATCAGGAAAAGCGTGATGCATTTATTGGGAAATATGCTGAATTGACCGATTACTACAGACCACAAGTTATATTTCAACAAGGTTCAGATGAAATGTTTATTGGTAGAGCGGGTTATCTGATTGGAATTGCTACGCTTCGACGGGTTACAAACCAGGTAACACTTTTCTTTCAATAGCAATGATACTTGGCTTTTGTTTTATTTTAATCTAGATGCAAACACTATCCTGATATTTTTTTGGGAGTGTATATGTATGTAGCGTTACAGCTCTTGTGTAACAGGTTTTACTCAAAGTCAAGATAGCAAACTTCTACGTGCTACTCACGTTAAATTTTTATCATCACTAGTAGCGTTTTCGTTTTTGTTTTAAATAGAGCTATGACAGCTGTTTTAGCACAATAGCATGAACTTATTTTATATTTTGGAGTTTGTTATCAGCTGCCCACAACTTAAACCCATTTCGATATCAGAATATACAAAAATATTTACATACTTGGATTAATTTGACAAATATTTATCGGTTCGAAGATAACATAAGTGTTATATAATTGAAGTCACAAGTGAATCAGAGTTACAAGGACTGTTAGTATATATATGGAGAAAAAAAAGGAGGACAAATATGTTCCATATTTGAGAAAGGTTGAATAAAAAAGGTTAGATAATCTATGTTAGGTAAAATGAGTAGATTTGAAACAATTTAGTCGATTGTGAAATAAAAAACAAAAACAGTGTATGGATTCATAATTTTACGGGGAAACTTCATTATCACTAAGAAAAAAGAAGTTACTGAGACAGGGATAAGCTAACAACTGTATCTTTCTGAAAACGTAAATTTGTTTTCAGTTGCTCTATAGCTGCGCTTTCAGCGGAACGGAAAAAATCCGAGTTCACAGGTTTATCATTTATTTCTCGGGTGATTTCTGAGTATCATTTAGGTTACAAACAATCACATTGTTAAAGACTTTCACACCTGAATATTTGTACTTCATGATTAGATCATATCTTCATTGTGAAATGTTTGCTATAAGTAACATGTGCTTCTTCTTCGTGTAGCGTTTTAAGTTGTAAAGTTAATATACAACAGTATTTCTTCAATGGATGAAATCAAAATTCTGCTTGGATCTCGTAGGTACTTTAAGTGGAGATAGGAAGCAATATTTTTAATTTGACAATACCATACAGTTATCAAACTTAAAATCACTGCCTAACTTGAATTAAATTTTCATTCCAAAATAGCATCAACTTGAGAAATGTTTAAAAGCAAACAACATGACGCAGCTACTTTAGCTTTGAACGCTATGTTTTCTCTACTCCATATGAAGTTGAACCCAGGATCTTCAGGTTTTATGGTGGCGTCATTTACTACTCAGTCACTGGCTCGCATCATTGTCATCAATAAATGTTAATTCTTGCTTTCATCTTCGTACGTAGTTGCACTATATATATAACTATATATATAACTGAAGTCGGGGAAAGATAACCGTAAGAACTTACTTCATTGTTGAAATGAATATGACTTTCGTCGAGTATGAAAGTTGTAAGTTTGATCACTCACCTGATTAGGCGTGGTATGCAGCCTACAGCAAAATAATTTTTCACCACTTCTTATTTTGCAATAATTTCCCGTCTGATGCAGAGTTCATGATGTGAACTGTCGTCAATATAATCACTTTATTTACTCTATATTGGGTCTGTTGGATGGAGATGTTGGTCGTTTACACTTATTTTTGATATAATTAAAGCAATTTATACTACTCGAGAGGTGCTATGTTATACTTTCAAGAACTCTATATCGCAATAAAAATCCAGCTTCTTATCTAAACTGTAAAATTGGAAATAGTTGATGCTTCCTTTCTATAAACAGAGTATGAACAATAATGCTTCTTATCTGCTGTCTTTCTGTTTTCACTCATCGTTCTTTTCAATACTTTGTGGAAGATGATATCAAGTATCACTCATTACTAATGGGGACTTATTTACACAACATTACTGACATGTGATTTTTAAACTTCTGGTACTAATTTCTTACCATCTTTTCCACTTTCCTTTTTAGGTCATTGTATCGAATACAAAGATATATGATATTTGCAATGCTATAATTAATTCTGGACAAGCATATTCTTCGAGTCATCGTAGTCAGTGTCCACTGATGTACGCCTACTATGAAACAGAATACCTTGGTAAGATGTTTTCTATAATTGCAAATAATACTACTCCCTGTCCGACAAACTACTAAGTTTAGCACGTTTCAGTTTTCAAAATGAACAATTTGAATTGTTTGAATATGAATCTAAACCACTTCGAAAATAACACGGTAATGACTTCGAGTATTGTTGCCTTCTATTTTTGGATAACAGACAAATAATTCACAGCTGCGGTTTATCATAAGAACTCATCGACCAACTTTTCGTTACGTCAACTAATGTAACTAACTAATGGGTGTTCATACGAACGTAGTGAATAGGTTTTAGTAGACAGACAAGTGACCACTAAACTTACCTGTTACTTATGCAAAAGTTGATCGATAGACTTCGATCAATTTTAAGCACTAAAGACTAGACAGCTACACATCCGTTACCCACTTGTGATTTATTCGTGTGCACCACTCAGTTCTACATGGGTTCAGTCGAGGTATGAATGTCTTTGTGATCAAGTCTCTGACTTCATTACTGTGTGATACAGGTCCCAATAACAGAGGGAAGAGTGTCTTCATGGCTACAGACATAGCTTAAGGATGAGTGCCAACAAGCACAAATTCTCGGTGGAGCAGGGCTTTCTGCCAATTGACTTCCACTATCCACTTCCACTAAAAATACAGTATCGTACCACTTCACTTAGTAGCCATATTGCGAAACTTGATCGATTGACTTTGATCAGTGCTAAGCACTAAAGACTAAACAGCTAGCTACAGGCGCTATTAACTGGTGATCATCTCGTGTGCATAACCCAGTCCTACAAGGGATAAGCCGTAGCCTGAATAGCTTGGTGGTGTCCACCCCCCCCCCCCCCCCTTATCTGATAACGTCTCAAGTCACACTGGGTTGATGCTCCAACAAGTGTTAACCTGACACAGCTGTCCTTCATCCTTCTCGTTTCTCCAATCAGCGTCATAACTGAAGAATAGTGAATAGTATGGAAGCCATCAGCATGACATATGCAAAGGCGTGTTCAAACTGCCAAAAACAGTGCTCAAAAATGACCATAATACTAAATATCTGGACCTTTATTGCCGCACCTCAGAATCTGTTACTCAGCATTACCACTGGAGTGCAAAAGATTTAATGAAGATTGAGGCGATGAAAAATGCAAAAAGTGACTGAGGATATAGATTCCTGTTAATTCCTTCTGATTATTTTGCACTTTATCCGAAGTGCACAACATATCTACGTATTAAAAAAAGACAATAGAGCGAAGGGAATTATCTTTTCGACAAATGATTTCCAAAAGCTGCGCATTTATATTTTTATTTACAGGTACGAGGTCCTCGTAGCTCAGTTGGCAGAACATCGAGTCGGAAACACGGTGGTCGCTGGTTCAAATCCGGCCGCGGTCCAAATTTTCATTTCACCTTCAACTATCACCCAGTATAAATACTAGTCTGCCAAATTACGGCTATCTCAGATGGTCAAATGATAATGAACAAACAATAAGTATTTTGTATATGAACGATGATCAAAATTTCACTGAGTAGTATCGCAACTATTGAGTCCTGAGTAAAAGTTGAAACTAGATATAGCTTGTATTTGTGTAAGTCACACCGTGTTTGAAATGAAATAATTCCATCTTCTTACTTGCAAATCTGTTCCAAGGTTTTTCAGGGAAATAGGTGAAAATCAAGGTATAAAAGATGTATAAATAAGTTAAAAACATGCATTTAATCTCTTTATCCTATCCTCTTTACATAGTCATCGCCTTTCTAAAATATGATTTTTAATCATTCAGTGTGAGATTTTATGTACAACAAGACACGTTTTTGGATTTATATTTTAATTTCACCTACTTCCCTGCAGAAGCTTGGAGCAGACTCGAGGGTGAAAAGTTTACATTTTTTTATGTCAAACATGCTGTGACCTACACAAATATAGACCATGTATAAATAATATATTGATAGGTAGGTTACGACCAAGTTAAAAATTAGAGTTTGGAACGCAGCGATCAGGTTTGAACTAATGAATTGACAATGCTTCTACTGTGTTAAGGTGGCGAATCCGCACTCCATTTGAAATTTTTGTATATGACTTTGTATTTACGCAAACTGATTGCTAATTGATTGAATAGTTTTAATATGATTGTAAACGATATCGGGTGCGAGCTTACAGTAAAATCATCTTCTGGACATGGACATGCACGGCTAACAACAACAGTCCTTCTTAACCATTTTGTCCTCAAAGATACTTTGGCTCACACGTGACACTTATCAACAGCATCAAAAGTGAGTAAAATAGTCAGATAGCATGACAAAGAGTGAGTGAACTATGGTACCACTTAACAAACAGAGTTAGTAATAGTGATGGACTAGTAGTGTTTTTAATTTTCCGAAAACTCGCCTGAACAATAAAACTCGTTTTCCTATAAACCATAAGAATTGCTTAGAATAGCTCCTTTATTTGAATGATAAAACAACAGCTTAAGGTTATTTTCGTCATTTCAATCAGAATAAGAAAATGAAGAAAATAGGCTTTACTCTGTGCTGACAAAGCATTAAAACGATGCAAGAAAGAGGAATATATTTAAGAAATTAAGGAAGCAATAAAAATTTACTGTGTGCTTTTTTGCAAACATATATGGAGTTTGACGACAATTGCGTATGGCCAGGATAGCTCAGTGGTATCGCCATTAACTGCAACACTGGTTGAGGCAGTATTCGAATCTCACAGGGGATATGTTCCCTTGAGGTTGCAGATATCCCTACCTGACGAGTGCAGAGAAGCACGAAACCTAGGTCCAAAGCTTCCTGCCAAGTGGCTACAACCAACACCCATCGAAGGGTATGAAAAGGCTTCGCCCTAACTACTAGCATTATTTCAACCTCACAGCTTTATCCTGCCTCCAAGTTAAATTATGAATCACATCGTCGAAAAATCCATGCATGAATCTCATTGCGAAAAATCCATATTTAAGCATTTGAAACCTAATAGTAGTATCCACGTTCAAAGAATGTTTTTTACAAGCTTAGGATGGAATACTATACTACTGTCCCATGCAATTAATCCTAGATAAACATGTGGACACTTCCACGATAGGACAAACCTGGAATGTAAAGATCACTTATTCCTACTGAAAGTTATGTATAAATTTGCTTAAGAAACAGAAACAAAAATACGAAGTAAACATAATCAATAGAAAACAACCATATCCGTTTGTAACACGAAGATGACATCGAATAATCTATCATACACATTATTGAATCCGCTAGTTACCACTAGAAACACAACATTCACACCAGTCGACAAACAGTGATCTTGCAACATTGTAGGAAGAAGAGGATAAGGTACAAACTGTTAAGCAATATACGAAAGAACTTAACAAAATATCTTGGTTAACTTACTATAGAGATAGAAGTAATCCATATAATAGCGAATCATCCGTCGAATATTTGAGTCTGAACCATCGCCATACATTGAGCTTACTTCAGCGCTCAGAGGATTGTCGTTTAGGTCTAAATAAAAATTAAAGAGTGTAGAAGGTTTACATGATTCATACCTCCAGTGCTACAACATGTATTAATAGTTACTTATTGTAAGGAGATAGGTCTGACACCTTTGTAATTATACTAATGGAATGAACAGATATAAGATAGGTTATGACAGTTTGCATTACATGCCTGAAAAGCACCATGGTACCACCATCTATCTAATAGTTATACAAACACAGATTCGATATGGCTTCCTCAAATTCAAGGAGAGTTCGAGGACCAACATTTGCACCCGATTCACGCTGAATGTTGGGCAACTGAAGAGTTGCTGTGAATCAGTTGACCTGTGCATAAACGTGTTCTGCACGTCGTTCTAGCCGCTTGTTCTAAGAGGTTATCAGCGTCTCATCCTTTAAAGTGACGGTTTCACTCATCAACGTCTTCTTCATGCCAGTATCCTTAATAAGCGTAAACAGTTGCCGAATGTTATCCATCGCTGACGTTATTTCCTTCTCTGGCTCTCTCAACCCACCTAAGCTGGCGATCGACGGGAAGACTCTTGGTCACATTACATCTAAGTTGTTTTCGCTGTTCTTCGTCGTCAGAGACAGCTGGAATACGTTTTCTCGCATCAATCAGTTCAGATGACGTTGCAGAAGTTGAATGAAGTTTGGTAATCTTTGGTTGTAGCTTATTAACTATCTCTAACGCTACTTCTACAGTAGACTCAACATCCCGCCAAGTTTCCTCAGCATGAGCATTGCTATCATGTTCAGACAGATGCTTGGCTACCTCTCCTCTAAATGCAGACTTCATATTTTTATCTTCCAATCGACTATAACCAGGCTTTACTATCACTTATTTCCTGCAACTAGTAAGGAGCATACATACACGAGCCCCTACTAACGCGTGATCACAGTCCAAACTGGTACTCCAGAAAGAACAGCAATCCTCCACCGATCCTCTACAACTATAGCATATAGCGTTGTGATATTTCTGTATCCATCGTCAGTTTGACGTCAGCGAACGCCATGTGAGACAGTATCTCTCCTTATGCCGAAAGTTAGTGCCGACCAGAAACAAGTGGTTATCAACAAAAAAATATCAGCAGATGACCATCGTTGTTAGCTCGTAGGTACAGTAACCTTCTATCATAACCATATCTGAGCGTTTCACTTTCTGCAGCAAAGTTGACAGCTTCTCATGGAATTCATTCCTGGCATCATCAGAACTGCAGTCAGTGGGTGCGTAGGTCGAGATTACGAATAGGCATCAGTTGGTCTCACCATCCTTTCTAGTCCTGACAGATTCATTGAGTACAACGGCACATAAACGGCTGTTGACTGGTATCCAGTCGGAAAGCGCACTTTCTGTCCTACAAATCAATGCTTCGCCTACACACTAGGGAGTCTAGGACAGCCAACCACCACTGGGTCTCCGGATACCCGTAAGGTGAATTTCGGAAATTCACCCCACTGGTCAGGTGGAGTTAATTTAATAACCATACCCAGGTCTTATATGCGTGTATCAGAGACAGTATGTACCCATGGCTAGAGACTCCGGAGTTTCGGTGAGCGATGCTTGCTGTCAGGTTAGAAATAGAGTTCTGACGTTGAAATCTCCTACATGAGATAGATGGAGGGGTTCAGAAGACTAGGAGTGAGGCTTCAACGGCTTTGATTGTTCGCAATGGTCGCAGAATAAGAGGTTTGGGAAGGTGTGAGGGGCTTAACATTGGCATCAGGAGGTGAGAGCAAAGTACGAGACAAAGTTGAGGGAGATAGGTTATGTTTGGTTGAGTCGTGTGTACTACTGGGAGCGTCAGCGCAGTTGACACTTCCCGGCTGCTCACACCACAAAACGATATTTCTTCCCAAGGTGCCTGAAACAGAAAAAGACTTGTGTGACCACAGAGCCCATAGGATATTTACTTGAGTCTGTCACACACAACCTTCTGAAGGCTGTTGTTTTGAGGTTCGGTTGTTCTGACGCCGGATAGAGAAAACCCATATCACCGGCACTGGAAGACCGTAGTGCAGGGGAGAGTGTTTTATTTCGGGGGCCGACCTTTTACTACTCACTCTTCCTGTTGGAAAGTTAGCGCCAGCATGGCACTGCTGGTTATCCAAGGGAAACACCTTACTGCTATCATAACCTATCCAGCCAGTAGTACAATTTTGCCCTCAACCATCCCCCCATCATGGTCTAGTAATTTGCACTACAACGGTAGCTGTTTTTCGTCTTACTACTATCCAACAGACTTTCCTGGCATGGTAGGACGTTGAGGTAACAAAGGGTTCCAGGTAGTGTAGTTTACTGGGTCATTTTGATATCCAAGCCCGACCAACATAGTAAGGTAGTAGCCCTCGACCGGGATGCATAGTGGAATCGACATCAGTGATTGGTGCAGTCATGTACTTTGCAAATACCATAAATGCTTATTGAAGCTACAGCTCATCTCGAATAAGAATAGTTGGAATTCACACAGGAATGATTACTTCACGAGGATCAGATTATCGGGTGTAAATGAATACCCTTAAACCTAAATGAAAACCGAAGGAACTGATCACTACGACTTTGCGTGAAATCACTACTTCTGTGCTAACTCCAAGAAAAATAACAAGAGGCAACTACAAACGCTCACAAGGATCTAATATCATTATGCGTTTAAATGTTGGTCATTGCTTAGGTATAACACTATGTTTACGAGTTTTATTACCGTTTTATGCATGAAGACAGATGCACCCGCATATATGATATAGTTTTATCTCAACTGATGGAATGTTAACCAAGCAATGGGAATTTGAGTAGGCGATAACAAACAAAAGTAACTAAGGTTAGGTGTACTGATTTGGAGATGTTGAGTGTTAAAACGCATAGTGGACCACTGGTGTCTGCACAAATATGTGGGAGGAGCAGCTCAACTTTTAGATGTGAAGCTCAGCAGAATAAATGTAGTATATATAGATGAAACCTTGGTAATAGTTCCTTAATACGTTGAAATGTGGCATCCTATAAATAAAACAAATATGGCATTGTACGTCGAATAAATATTTGCAAAACGCATTACTACTTTAGAAAAATGGATGCAATATCTACTAATATAGTGACTGATTTCAATTAGGCGTCATCAACATGAGATTGGCGGTACTGCGTAACGGTCAGAGTTGTCGCACATCAAAGTGACTTGTGAGTTCAGTTCTCACACATATTGCATCCCATGTACCTAACTGATAGCTGATAACCTTGACGTGGTGACCTGGCTTGTATGTCGCAATGACACAAAGGGCTATGCCGGTATAACAATTGTTCCACAGACGTCCTACCGTACCAGAAAGGTTTGCTAGATAGTGGTTGGACAAAAAGAAGTTACTGTGATAGCGTAAATTACTACCCTATGATAGAGGTGCGAGAGCGAAGTCGTACTGCTAGCTGAAGGAAAGCGTAACAGCAGTAAGGTGCTTCTCGTGGATGACCAGTAGCGCCCCAGTGATGATGCCTTCCATACGGGAAGAGGTAGGACACAAAAATAACACTCTCTTACCCTGTGGTATACCGTTGTCGGTGGTCACAGTTTGTAGATGGGTTTTTAAAAAATAATAATAGTCCCAAACCTCCAAATGGATTACGTGTGACCGGTCTCAAGCTGTTGTCCTTTGGGCTCTATGGTCAAACAACACTTTTACTAACCCTTCTTTTTCAGGTATCTCAAGAAGAAATAGCCTTCCACGGTGTGGACAGTCTGGAAGTGTCAACTGCTCTCACAAACCTGTCAGCACTCAAGTTTCGAAATTCACCGTTCCAGTTCCTATAGATTTAATGGCTAGTCTTTGCAGTATTGTATGTGTGCACATGGGATTAAGTGGCAACTGGAACCCAGATGACATTTAACTGTGCGCTGTTCTACTGAACGGTGCAGTGTAGCTGAAAAAGAATAGTGAAACTCGTCATTGTTTCTTTGTAATCTCTGTTTACACACCTACTGACTGTAGTTCCCAAGAAGTGAAGGATAAGTTCAAGCAATAACTGTCCTACTCAAAGCAAAACGTTCAGACGTGATCGCTGTTCCAGGTGACTCTAGTGAGCAAGTGGGTAGGCTATGTCAGACAGAAAAGCAGCCACGTAGCACTTTAAAAATTTCAACCAAACGAATAGATAATGGCGATTGTTTCTTGCAAATGTTCAAAGTCAACCATGTATTTCTGACCATCAAAAACTTCAAATGCAAAAGAGACATTGTTTAGTGTGGTGTTCACCAACTTCAACTCAACGGCGGACACAGATAGACCATATTCATATTAGTTACCGCTGGAGAGGGTGTATGGAAGATTGCCACTCCTTCTGAAACATATGTTGGACAGTGGTCACGCTTATCTGCAGCATATGGGGAAACTATGACTAGAAAACTGTTTGGAGTACAGTATTATGAGCACACTGAAGTTGTTTTTGAGCACTAATTAGCTAAAGTTATTAGAATATGACAACGTTACTCATCACCGTCATCCGTTTCCTGTAAATGTAGCGTTAAAGAACGTCAGTGACTCAGAGTGGTTAAAAAGTGCCAGTGGATTTCAGCAGCTTTTTCGGAATCAATGAATGCACGTGAACGCATCTCTGGAGGCTCCTAGCACAATAATGAGCAGAAACAACTCAAATATACACTAAGAAAAAGTCTATGAAATGACCAGAACAGTGGTGGGTAACGAAGGCTAAAGAGGTTGATAAAGGCATCGGTAATAGACAGTCATTTAAACTTATAAAAGAAACTGGGGCGAAAACTTCCATTGATTGGTGAGAATACAACGTTAAAGGATCGGTTTGTGATTCACTTACAGGGGATATGACTGGTACGATGGGGGGAAACACTCCGAGGAACGGTTCAACTGGCCTCTAGCCACTATTCTATTTCCTAGTATGATAGGGTCTCAACCATTTACGGAAGCCGAGCAAGTCGTATATAAGCGGAAATGGTGAAGGGCATCAGGACCTGATGGGTTAGTACTTAACAAAGATGTTCGTAGATCATTAGTCAGATTTATCGAAGTGTTAACTAGTGTATAGAATTTAGATATGATCCCATCTGACTGGTTCCAATCCCTAATTATTCTAGTCTTCAAGTAAAAGGAGAAACTCTCTTATGAACACCACAGGGGAACCAGTCTGACGAACAGTGTCAAAGATACTAGGTCCTACAATTATTAGATGTCTCGGTGGAGATCAAGAACGGTAAACGCCAGGCAGGATTCAGACCCAGTTATGGGTTTTTGACCAGACATTTATACTCCACCAGGATCTGGAACACAGGTATACCTAAAGATGGCATTCGACTCCATTGACCAAGGAGTCTTAAGGCGACACTACTCACTGGAAGAGCTGCCGGCTAATTACATGACTTTGTTGAAGGCTCTGTACTGGAACACTCAGACGTGTTAGAGCCAGTGGTTAGTTGTGTACATCAGGTGGTAATCCGCCAAGGATATTCACCTCCTTTTTTGTTTAATTTTACTATAGACGTCGTTTGATTTCAAAGGGAAGGGAATCCTTGGTAGATCTAGAATACGCAGATGATAAAATCCTGTTAGGTAAAGTCGCTGACAAGATGCAGTCTTCTGGACACCTAGAGTGACAATTTGACGATTTTTGAGATGCATTTCTCACTACCCAAACGAAAAACTGTTGCTGCTGGACTAGTCTTCATTGGTGCCCCGGCTAGCAATAGGGAGTGAAATGGTTGAGGGCACTGACCACTTCACTTACCTGAGAAGTTGGACCAGCCTTCGTGGGCCAGTGGCCGATAAAATCTGTGCATGGGTACAAAAGGCTCTCTGGGCTTTCGCTGATTTACGCCATTTATGGCTTCGCGGCGATATCCTATTATCTATTAAGAGCTGAGCGCACTGGGTTGTAGTTTACCCTGTTCTACTGCATGGGTGTGAAACATGATCATTAAAGACAGTTTTCACGAAAAGAAATAGTGGTAAAAAATCATCTACTTAGAAAGTACTTTATACAATATAAGAGTCTAACAGTAACAATGGTAACTACTTTTGACGTTAACCATGATGAAGTTTTCAATTACGTTGCTCATCGAAAAATTACTTAAATTGCTGAAGAACTTAAAATCTTGGATGCATGGTCATATGATACATAAATAACATATATTCCTAAAAAAATGTCAAACTACAGTATCTAGTTTAATAGTCGGTGAAGCAGATGATAAATGTGAAATCACAACAAGTAAATGTACAGATTTATTTCTAGAAACATTAGAAATTAATCTAAAATTACACTGCATTTTCCACATGTGTGAGGCTAGTGTATTCTCAGTGAATTCAGAGTTGTTAAAAGAGTAGGTATGCAGTTGCAGTTGATTCATTAGGATATCATACTTTGAGTGGTAAATGGCAAGCTCCCGATGGAAAACAATGTCTAGATCCTCTCACTAACTGACATTTAAAAATGATTGAAAGTAGCCAAACACCTGACGAATACAAAATTGAAAAGGTTGGGAAGAAATAAGAGACTATCAGTAAAAACAATTTACCAGCCCATTTTGTTACTTACTGAAATGTCGTAAGTTAAGTAACCGACCTATATCGGACGGCAAATCAACTATTTTGTTATCGTTCAGTATAAGTGCACGTAATTCTGTGAGATCACCAATAGTTGATGGGAGCGAATGAAGTCTGTTACAGCTGGCGTCCAGATTTACAAGGTTTACTAGATTACCAAGCTCTGAAGGTAGCCGTTCCAGATTGTTGTTTTTTATAACTAGAGTCGTAATGTACGTTAACTGACACAAGTTTCCAGAAAAGTTCTTCACAGGACCTATAATGAGTAGTATGAGAAACCAAAATGAATAAACCGTATATAAAATTGTAGCAATCAAAATAGTGATCACTTATACTTCAAATATTCAGCGGACATTTGCTGCCAATTCGAACTCTTTTACTATGGACCCCCACCATGTAGCGCTCTACTGAATTTTTTTTTACCACAGAAGTCGTTTCAGCACTGCTCATGAAGGATAGTATGACCGTGGAAGTAATGTCAAGGTTAGATGAAGGGTACTAGGCAAGGAAGGCAAATCAGCAGATGAAGTGAAGTTTCACCAAATGAGTTGGCTTGAACATGTGTTGCACATGCCAAACTCGCACCTGCAGCAACCTTAGCCAAAGTAGGAGTGGGTTAGAAGGCTCAGAGTGGTGAGTATAAGACAAGTTGCCAGTCTATAAAGTTTTGACTGTTGGTCTGAGTCATACAGGAAGGTGTAGACTTCCGGTTTAGGTTTTCAAGATAACAGGAGTCCATGATTAGGGACCCACGATGTGACTGAAAATCCCTACAGATGTATATCCTCTGACATCTTCCAGAGTCCGAACATTTTCACTAACCTGGAGTTTCAAATCCCTCCTCCTGCCACACACTTTTTTCACCTTAGTATTACTTTTTCCATCCACTTGTTTTCTGCAGGCGGTTGTGATGTGTGGCAACTTGGCCTGATACACCCCCGTGTTGATTTTTCTGTCTGTATTAAGCTGATTAGTTGTTAGAAGTTATCGACAGATACATTAAGAATAGGGTCAATAAAAAGTGCTTATTGAAAATAGGTACAACGGTGGCCGTAATGAGGTGAAATGGAAGTCACAGTCTGCCATCTCTTCAAAAAATTTTACTTTCAGGACTGGGATCTTACCACTATTCTTGAAAACAGGCAAAGGTAGGTTGTGTGAGTCAAATGACATATGGCGTTTCAGTACTTTGATTTTCTTCATTACCTTCACTCATTTTGGTGGTTAGGTGTTGACCGACCATGAAGCATTTTGCTTTGGGAACCAGAAGATTGGAGAAGTAAGTCAACTGAATTGTATATCGAAATGTTCTGCCCAGCACTACAGATGTTGTTGATCAGCGAACTATCTGCCCCACTGATGCCAGGCTTCTTGCAACCGGTGGCCCAGTTGAGGTTAAAAAGCTCCCAGTTATTGTCAGATGCTACAACTGCTTTTGTCACACGCAGACGTTCCGATCATTAGCCCTTACGATCGCTAAATAAGTCCCATGATTCGTCCCGTAAGCGACTTATTTATACCACTGGAACGGACTGACATGGGTCAAAATTTTGCAATCTCTCCTGGGATGTTGCATTTCGGTCTTTCAGATACAGCAAAACATTAGTGATAAAGCTCTCCAAATTCATGGCCAAACTTGTCTGTTGCTTAATATGCATTAAAGTCAAAACGTTGAAGGCAGCAAGCCTAAACAGTATGCACGATTTCAGGATTTACCAAGCATAGCACTAGAGAGTTTTGTGAAAGCAATTATTTAGCGACTAGAAACGGTATACAATAACCAGAATTTTAATCGATGATGAATAAGTGGGCTAAGTGACAATACGAAGACAATTTTGGCGAAAATAACGATTAGAAACGCAGTCCAAGTGCAAAACTGAAAGTGAAATGAATTTCGATGACTGGGCATAAACGTTTTAATGTAAGGGTTTGGTTTCTGGTAGGGATTTTCGATAAGCCCTTTTAAAGTATTTACTGTAATTGTTGCTCTAATGTTTGTGTGATATTTGGGATACCGTCTGGAAACTTAGATTAAAACACGTGGTTGTCTTAGGAGACCATGGCGTGAGCATTTGATAAAAAATTCAATGCAGTGGGTGTAGACAAATAAAATAGGCTTGTGCGCTAGTTATCTGTTCCGTATCCTAGAACCCATGCGAACCATTGGCTTTGAATCAGTTTCCATGGCATGAGCAACCAGGTAATTAGCGTCAGATACCTTTTCTCCCCCTTTAACTTCTTAGAAACAACTCAATAACACGAAAGCAGATAGTGGCATTTCTATATGAAAGGATCTTAAGGGGAAACTATGGAAACATGTAACTAACTGTTCATATACGTTTACATTTAAAAGCTTACTTATGATCTTAAACTAATCTTATCTTCTTGATATTTATTTCTCACGAAAAAAAACCAGTCTTCTCAAACAACTCCGGTAACCTACATCAACTACGGTCATTCATACTTACTGTTCAACTGGACTTGTATCACTGGTTCGTACTAAGAATCAGATCTCGGCTACCGTTTGATAAAGAGACAGTCTAGATTTTTGTTTCAGCAAATTTCATATAATTGTATCGCTTGAACAATATCATCAAGAGCAGTCAGTGCTATTGCGAATCTCTCATTCAGATAGGTTTTTGGTTACTGATAACCAGAGCAGCGTTAACATTCATCTCGGTGACCAAAGTTTAATGATCGAGAAATGATGTACGGTAGAACACACGTGAATGAGCGAAGAGAATACTTTCGGCTATTTCATTCACGACTCTCAACGAGCTTAACTAGCATGTTAGATAATTACAGTAGTTTGCTGGTCAGTAGGCTAGATGACAGAATATCTTGTCTCACTTTGCACTGAAATATTTGTGTATTGAAATGAGTAGTCCTAAGGCACTCCTCAAAGTGAAAACTGTGGGTAAATATCACGGAGCGTGTCGTCACTTTTCGTGAAACCGTAGATCTCACAGCTTAAAACTGACGGCTGATCAACTGCAATTCATTTACCTAATTGGTAGTTAAGGAGTGAGCTGTATCTGAAATACAAAAGCATCACTTGTAGGGTGATTTCGAGCCTCAAAAAATCACATATTTGTAGATGTCCTACAAGCAAGACTTAGAAAAAGCATTCTTTTTTAAACGAAGCATTACCTGTTAAATTCAGTCGGAACCAGTCACTCTTTTTGCCATTCTTATTTTCATCATCTGTCATAAGTCTGCTTTGCATCGTTAGTTCATTCAGGCAATTGTGTCGCCTTGCACCAAGCTCTTGCTGTTGTTGTATCATCTGAAAACAAATCACAGGCAGATGAACCAGGGAGAACTGAAATGACTAACAATAACACTAAAAACTGATACACAGAAAACAGCCCCCATTAGAGTTTCCACCTACTAGTTAGGTGAATATTCCATGCCATGGGGAACGACTCAATGAAGTCACAACCCTCTTAAGTCTTGTCATGACGCCGATATTTCCGCAAATTACGTGACATGGTAATCTTTACCACGACCGATTATATCCATCTCCAGAGTTGATGTCCGAATGTAACCAATACTAAGTACTTAATTTCCTGTGTCCTGCGACGGACACTATATTGCATAGAATAAGAAACTAGATAAGATTAGAGATGATTTGTAAATCCATTATAACTACCAATATTCTGTTTACTACAAGACATGAACACCCTTTGGGAAAGAATAAGTTCACACAAAAATGTTTCTATACAGTCTTCTTGAAGAAACTTGACGTACGGTAGCTTTGCATGTTTTGTAGAAGTAAACTGGACATAAGTTTCTACGGTGAACATATTCACTGACGAGATCGCAGAGTAGAGAACCACTAGTCAAACGCTAGGTCTGAACCAGTTTCAGCTCGACACGCACTACATGCCAACACTCAAGCACAAATAAAGGTACACCAATTAATGAAATAGAGAACCTTCCTTGATTGAGTCAAGGAATTTGACTAATTATCATTTAGTTCATCAAAAACTAGGGATAAGGTGATATTTTCACGGAGGCCAAACAAAAAAGTAATATCAATAAGTGGATTTCTGAAGTTCGTTCTGAGTTGCAAACAAAAGTTAGGCCTCCTAGGATGAGTCTACTTCATGTAAACTAGATGCAACGGCTATAGATTGGTTACAGTGAAATGGTTGCACCTACCTTTCATCCTGCTGTTAGAACTCACTATTGTACAGCGCTGACTAGTTTCCTCTAAACTCCTTTTTTCTTCTTTACATCCTGGCACCACCTTGCTGTCTTTGAAGTTATAAATTAAACTTATGAACTATCATATCGAATCCCATGATATTTTATGTTTGCTTGGGATTAGAAAAATATTGTATTTAAGAAAATAGGTAAAATTACTGAGCATCTGAAACGACTTTAACGGACTACATATACAGCAAATGAGTGACTTACGAAATATAGTGATAGTGAGTTTTGGAATAGTAGATGGATTATTGTAATCACTATCAGCAACAAGAAAACTAGACACTGGCAGACTGCATAACATCTTTCAGTGAATAAAGGATTTTTCGAAAATTACAGTGATGAAATCTTCAATGTGCAGAGGGTGATTTTAAGTACACGGATATCAGGGGGATTCAGAGTGAAAGATAATACAACTGTATTGCCACACATGTATATGAAGTGAAGCATTCGATGTTTCATCATCATTATCAACATAGGACCAGGCATTACTGCGTAACGGTCCGAGTTGCCACACCTCATATCAGCACATCAAGTAAAAAGGTAGTGAGGTGAAGGATGAAGATAAGTGAATGCAGTCAAAAGAAATATAAAGTATGAGAAGAAAGGAAAGAGGAGTGACAAAATAGTGAGATTCGGCATAGCGTTGTTAAGATGAGGATAATGTGTGTATACATCTGCGCCACTGACTTCGGTTCTGAGCCATATCACCTAGGGTCTCCAACCACTGGTTCCTCTTGTCCCGTGGACCCCAACCACCTAGTCTGCATCGTCCTACATGGCTTAAACCAACAGTCAGAGACTTCATACATTGGTGCCATGTTTTAGTCTGGCCACCTCGGGCCTTTTTCCAGCCTGGACCCACCTCAGCCAACATTGTGTGACGAGGCAATCGGTGACTAGGCATACGTAGTACGTGTCCCAACCATCTCAGTCGATGAAGGTTCACAACCTCGTCGACTGACTTACCTCTTCTCCCTAAAACTCTACACCTAACTTCTGCATTACTCACGTAGTGACACCACGGAATACGTCCTATACTACGAAGGCAACGGTGGTCAAATACCTGTAACCTTCTCATGTCTTCCACTTTCAATGGCCATGTTTCACAGCCATACAGTAGAACAGAGCGGACTGCTGTGCAGTACACGCGACCCTTAATAGACAAACGAATATCACGGCGGCGCCATAGGTGGCGCAAATTGGCAAAAGCCAATCGAGCCTTTTGTATCCGTGCAGAAATCTCATCGGCAACTAACCCACCAGGGTTGATCCTACTTCCCAGGTAAGTGAAGTGGTTTACAAGTTCATATTTCAAAGAAAACAGCACAGCTTAAAATCATAGACTGTCCGAAATAAAAGACCTTCTAAATTTGCATTGAATTATTAAGAAATCTTTTTATTTCCCAATGCGCGAACCTACAACAGGACCAGCACCAACTACATGAAAATTAGCTAGCTACCAAATAACGCTCATCTCACGTTCTAGCCATTTGTTCACTGATTTCAATCAGAGTTTCAGATGAAACTAGGATTTTCACAGACATGCAGCTCAAATGGATACATAAATAACGGTTTCACCAGTCAGAAATACAAGAAATTCAGTTATTCAAGTGGATGGATCTAGAAATCAAACCGACCTAACCCAGGTTATTTTGAATTAGATTTTAAAACTACTCATGTATTTCATATGGAAGGTGGAAAATGTCTTATCCTGCGTATTAACTCAACAGAAGCTGCACATGCAAATGAATGACTCATGTGATCTCAATTATCTTCTCTAGACTACATTCATAACATTACAATCAGCACTCATAAACCCAGTTGGTTGCTGGAACGCATGGGATTTGTATTGACAAATTCAGAAGCAGAAAGAGAGGCAGCAATTCAAAAGCTTTTAAGCGACGTGTTCACGAAAAGTATCCTGAGTGAGTATTTTGTCTACTAAGCTTTACTACACTTTTTTAAAGTTTTTGACTCAACAGACAAACTTCTGTGCTTTCCCTGTGATTACCAATCAGCTGTTGGTATCAAATAGCTATCTAAAGTCAGCTTACAAAACATTAATCTGAGATCGCCATGCTGTATGGTTGCCCACCATAAATAAAGTTTTCGTAGCCTTATTCTGTATCTTAAAACGTTCTAGTGTAATATTTTTTCTACAAAAACACTTTCAGTGCATTTTTGAAGTTTATATCTCTCATCTAACTTCCTGGGCAGTATTTAAGTCAGTAGTAAAGCAGTGCTGTGCGCCAAAATTTGTTGGAGAATCATAGCATTCATGTCATTGCCCAAGAGACGAGTGGTTATAAAGAGATGATGAGATGAACTCACTTTGAGAAACTGCTTGGAGTAGAGAAACAAATAGGAAACCAAACTGGGGCGCGCTTGTTGGATGGAAATAAGTCGTAACAAATCCCAACGACCTACCTTTGATTATGCCGCTCATAATGACCTCGGAGTTATCAAATCCAATCGTCAACATCAACAGTGCAAAAGAGGAAACTTGTAGCTTTCAAGTTCTTGCTTCTAGGTGTCCAGACTGTGTTCTTTTGTTTTTTTGTACTACTCCGGTTGACACAGAAGTCTGTACAACTTACTTGCTAATATTTTCACAGATTTTAGGTTTGTTGTTTTGGGGGAGCAGTGGAGCTCATGATAAGATCAGTCATTCTTTTGCTTGCGCTCGCTGAGGGTGTTGTCGGTTTCCATCACCTCTGTTATGCGAAGATAAATCGCTGCACTTCTCGGGGTTAAAGCTCAAACCATTCTCAGCTGGCCAACACTCCAGACGTAGCAGATCGTTTTGGAGTGTCTCAGGGATCCTCTTCTTTACACACTGTCCTCCATGTTGTGATGCCGTTGGTAAACTGGATAAAAGAGGAGGAGATTTGTCAGGGGAGTCCAAAGGCCGCTTCTTGAGAAACTGTTGTTATCGTACCCCTTTATGCTGGTCGAATTCTGTTTATTTTTGTATAGAATTCCCTGTCTTCTAGATATGCTGGTCCCGTGATACCTACTTTTGCAGGTTTCATGAGTGTGGTGTAGTGTGGGATGCTACCAAATGCTTTGGCTAACTCTAGAATGATATCCTAGACAGATAGCTTGTTACCCTACATATTGGTAGAGTCATCCCAAGCGGTCAAGAAGTTTGTGGCACATGATCATCCGGTTCTTAAGCCTTGTTGGGTGTGGCGATCGATGACTATTCAGTTTAGGTAGTCACTAACAACATCTACAACCAGCATCTGCAGTTGGTTGGATAGTATGGGAAGTAACTCTATCAGTCCATAATTCCATGGGTGTTTTCGATCTCCTTTCTTGAAGATTTGTTGGAGGACAGCAGGCTTCTATTCTTTAAGAAGTTGACACAATTCCAACTGGTGCGTGAACCAAGAGCTTTTGCGTAAACTTAGCTCCTCAGCACGATTCAGTAGGATCACTGGTTTGGTGTCGTTACAGCCCAAATATTTCCATATTCTGAGAGCTGGAAGTTTCGCAGACACTTAGTTTGAAGAAATCCCTACGTTCATCAGCTTTGTATCGCGGTCCTGGAACATCTCTGCATCACTGGATTTCCGTGGTAGATTCATAACTGTGCTGGGCTGCTCGCCAAATCAGCTGCTTAACAGTTCCGCCATCTCACTGCTATTCAAGGGTTCTCCTTTCGGTCCTGTGGTCAGGTTTAAACCTGCACGCGTTAGTTTTCGCTGTGATATAAACCTACATAGACGTCTTGGGTCATAGCCTATCTGTTTTTCCAGGTTACTTCGGCACTTTTGCCGCTTATTAGAACCCTCATATTCCATTGATTACGCAACTTCTTGAGTTTAGGGGAGTCTGATTCCTTGTGTGATGTGCGCCATTTATGCCATGCCCTCCTTCCTCTGTATTCTACTTTGGGTTGCACAAGCAACAGGATGGCCTCTGAGTGGTGGTGATCCGCTTGGTCTCGGTACACTCTTTTCAACAGCTCTCCGGATATCCTCAATGTGTATATATTCAGTGTTCATCTTCGATGAAGAGCGCTGTTGTTGCGACCATGGAACGTTCATAAGTTCTCTGTTCATGAGC